CCAAGGCAAATAAAGCATCCCAAAAGGAGAAGACCGCGCGAAAATTGACCACAATATATAGTCTTAATCTGCCTATGATAAAACCGTGTGTCCCCCCTCATCATAATAAACAATTCTAATGCAAATATATACAAGTTAAAGTATGCAGACTGATTTTTTACTAATAAAAAACGAATATAAAAAAGTGTCAGAGACCAATAGTCTACGTACATTCACAAACTAGGGATATAAACATCTTAATCCATTGCAAGATTTGACAATTGACTTGAAATATAGACTCGGAGACATCTTTTCCTCTCATACTCTTTAACTTTCCACGCATATACGGATAAGCATGAACTCGCAGCTGCAATTGCCACACAGAAAGGAGCACGTTATTCGCGCTAAAAAAAGAAAAAGAAAAAAAAGAGGGAATATGACATATATTCATAGTTTATTTACATTATAAATGCAGACGAAGTATGACCCTCTCACACATGATATCAGACCTGACAATTTCCGACACGACACAATACGAAATTAACAGGTGTTCGAGTCGATACGATAACGAATCTGGTCATTATCGAGTAACCCGATAAACACCTATTAAGATAACGGGTTGGTTCAGGTATACACGTGGGTAACACGATATACAATAAGCAAAATATTAATTTTATAATTTTATAATCCTAAAAAAATACTATAATAATTATATATATTAATTTAACAAATTTATACCCCCAAAAACTATAATAATTATATATATATTAAATTAAATATTAAAAATTGGTGACCATTGGATCGGCTTAAATATACATACCATTCAATTTCTTAAATGTTATACGTACAAAATAAATAAATTTAAATCTACTAAAAAAAAAAAAATATATATATATATATATCATTGAATTTGATGAGATACGAATTCTACGAAACTAATTTCAACAATCCAACCGTCAAAGTTGTTTGTATATGCTTCCAGATCGCATCAGCAAAAAATCGCAATAAAAAAAAAAAACATTCAGAGATCAAGTAAGGGGACAAAACGGTTCGACGGTTATCAAGTAACGGGACAAAACTGTTCGACGGTTATCAACGAAAAATCACGATTTAACCGTTATTTTAACTTTGATTTTGATGATTTTTTTATAGCTACACTCCTTGATCCTATATGAATACAATGAATGAACTCGATCTTTAATTTAAAATATTTACACTAATGGATACCACAAAATCTTATGTTATACTTAATAAAAGTATGAATAAACTCTTAAGTGTTAGTGAATCTATTGTTTTGATACGATAAGCATTCTACGAAACTAGTTTCAACGATCCAACCGCCAAAAAATTGCAAAAACAAACATTCAGAAATCAAGTAACGGAACAAAACTTTTCAATGGTTATCAACGGAAAATCACGATTTAACGGTTATTTTAACTCCAATTTTGATGGTTTTTTACAGCTACACTCCTTGACCCTATATGAATACAATGAATGAATTCGATCTTCAATTTAAAATACTTACACTAGTAGATACCATAAAATCTTATGTCATGATAATCGATGAAAATTGAGGATTTTGTAAAAGGAATAACATGCAAGCTTTGAGTTCCTTTGGTAAAGTTTAAACTTTTGAGAAAAGCTTCACAACCTTGAAAACAAAAACTTTTTCATTTTGCATATCCTTGCACATTTAATATTTTGTAATAGACTAATAGTGTATGGATGTTTGTTTATTAGACTCTTATTTTCGAATGTAGATGTAGTACTTAAATGACAAATGTGTTTTAATGTTTTGAAGTAATATTTTATGTGGCAATGTGTGGTATGTGCAAATTTAAGAAAAAAAAAAAAAAAAAATTCTTAACGGATCATAACGGGTCGGGTCACTTTACCCAATGTGTGGTATGTGCAAATTTAAGGAAAAAAAATATTTTTTTCTTAATAAGTCATAACAGGGGTAAAGTGATCCGACCTGTTAAGATAACAGGTGTGACACGACACGACCTGTTAAGATAACATATATTACACGAAAACGACACAAATACGATATACATGATCCGTTTGCCAGGCCTACGTGACACGACATAAATTTACTCACAAATTATGATAGAGCATATATGCCTTTGTATTTATAGTACTGATCAAACAAACAACAAACTCACACACACACACACACACACACACACACACACACATATATTCTCCACCTCATTAATTAGAGAAACTTGAAGATCATCAAGTTGTCATAATTCTTATTGTTTACAAAACATAATGCCAAATCTCTTACTTGGGTATGTGAGTTGCTAAGTTCCACAAATAACAATTTGAACCACTTCATACCCTTGGACAAAGCTTGGTGCAAGCCCCATTGTCTATTTCCCTTGTCCTTACAACTATTCCCACAACTATTCCCATGATAACAAGTGAGGGAGCTATCGTTTGGAGGTTGACGGGGACACCCACCCACCCACCTCACCTATAATCTTTAGACTTGCAGTATATTCCTGAGAATCATACGATATTCTCATAAAATATAAAATAGAGGCTGGTTGGTCCACCATTGTTCTTGTTAATAAAAACTATATGGTCCAAGTTCATCCATCGTAATTTGGGGGTACTTGGGGACATGACAAGTTTATTTTCCAATGGGTTTTTGACAATAAAAAAAGCAATTAACACCATTGTTTTCAATATAAAAGTTGATTGAATGTAACAAGTACCAAACTCTTTTTGGTTGGTTTCAGTCACTTAAAACTACAATTTGTTGGTGTTTTTCTTCATTAGTAAATAGTAGTTTTTAATTTCGACTCTCATGAATAATGAGTTCGACGTCAAATTATTATGACTGACTCGTGTTTTTTAGCCCAAATCTTTCACTTCTTGACGTAAATATATCTTTGTATTCGAAAGAATTTTGTTTTCTTTGCCGGCAAGAATATATGAGGTTATTTTCACATGATCTATGTAATCATCTTGTTGAGATCTCCAACAATCTTGGCCTTTCACAACCAAGAAGTCATCATTTTATTTACCAACAAAAGAAAGAAGAAAGAATGCCCACCTGACAACAATCTTTTTCATGCCTTCGTAATCATTCAAAAATTCAGCCACTTATTCAAGAATTTTGCTTTTCCGCCATACGCTCTTTCCGTGATCCATAAACTTTCTGCCATGCAATATTCAAAAGGTCGAAGAAAATGGAGACTTTCAAAAGCTTTCGTTTTTTGACTCACCTACTAAATTGCTCCATTTGCTGGATCACAGACTAAATTACTTGTCTGGGGAACAAAGGGAACTTTCAGAGATTTTTTTTATGATTTTTTGGGAGGGAAAATCATGGTGGGGGAGGGGTCCAATGGTCAATTTCATGCATAACTTGGGAAGCAATGGGGGACAATGCAGGGGATTAATTTTTTATGTTTCTATATTACCCACATTTATAATTTCTCATCAACCCATGCTTCTTTGTCATTTTCAATAACAGTAGTGCTGCTTTCTACCCACTTATATTTATTTTTCACACACTTCTCTTAATGTTTAGTCGTCGGCTTGAATGAATTGGATATCAATGATAAAAAATTAACAACGGTGTGTGAAAGATAAAAATGAATGTGTGAATATCACTATCCCTTCAATAAATAGGATGCAACGATTTTCATCTAAAATTGAAGTTAACATTTTTAAAACGAGGTAAAAATTTTTCCACTTGGAACACTTTTCATCATTTGAAGATATTTGAACAAATATAGGTAAAAGATCGTTCTCGTGTACTACTTTTGAGTGGCAACATGTTTTTCATTTTCGAAAGCTTACAAACATATTTATTCTTTCTCTAAGAAAAAAAATCAAGAAGGCTCCTTGGGACTAATAAAGCTCTTATATGTCGGTAGGGAGCATGGGGAAATTGCAATTCGGACACTTGCTATTATAGTCGGAAAGGGATTCTCTCTGGATCTTTTCCTCTTAATCCATCAAATTCGGGGATTCAGGACTTTGAAATTTGATCAAACAGCTAAAATGATTATAACTTTTAAAGTGGGTCCCTGTTTGTAGATGTTGGATTAAATTTTAACGGCTCGGATTCTCGAACTTGGTGGATTAGAAGAAAGGATCCCTTTCCATTATAGTCCCGCCATTACAAATTCTTCTTTTCCTACATTGAGATTTTTTGGGCATCTCACGTTGCAAGTTTGTCTCTCATTTTTGATATGTTGTTTTCTTTTATTTCCTAACCATTTGGATCCTTTGTTTTACATTTTAAGTTTTATTTTAGAGGAATTAGGTTCATACTTTGACGAGTGGAAAGACCGTCCGGCGTGCGCCTATATTTGTGAGTTATTGCATACGCGCACACACACATAGACAACCCTATGCATGATGAATTTATAACCAATCAAGTAATAGATTGTGAAAGTTTCTCTTGGGGCCGTACACTAACACACATTGACAACCCTCTGTATTTGGTCCCACCCATCCAAATGAGTACTTAAGTCTTAATGGGTACACAATAGGTTTAATGTGTTGGTGAGTGTATCAAAATTATAATGGTGGGTGAGATCAAATTAAATGTATCCCTTAAGAATCTAATGGGTTAATTTGACGGGTCTAGTGGACTTGGATCAAAAGGACATGTGCAATTAAATGACTAATTCATATTAAAAGAATGGACTTAAGCGTTGTTCTAAGCGAAATGATTTTCAATTTCATTTTCTCCGTCTGCACTCCTTTATTTGTTCTATTCACAGTTGGATCATAAACCAAAGCCAGTCAAACTTGGGCCAATGATTTGTTTTATAAAATGACCCAAGTTGAGGTTTGGGCTCAGTTTGTTATCTATACAAGCTGAGAACCTACATTCATTCCTTCTTTCTTCCCCTTTCATAATCAAGACACATGAAATTTGAAATGCTGTGGCTTCAGCGTCGCCGATTTGATCCAAGAAATTTGAATTTCGTAAACTGTTCTGAAAAAATCATCCCACAGAGAGAGAGAGAGAGAGAGAGAGAGAGAGAGACAGAGAGCAGAAAAGAATGCTGCATCAGCAGCATACAATATATTTCAAATTATATAATTCACACAAACTCAATACAAAGGCCACAAGAAATTAAATCAATACATATCACTGGTTACGTGACATTTTCTGGCTGAGCTGCTTGAGACATAATGCAGCAGGCAAGAGGCTGCACGGCCTGCTATGGGCAAGGTGACCAATGTAAAACTGGACAACACCCCTGCCAAGTGCATACTGAGCGCTCCCCGTCGAAAAGCATAACTTATTTCTATATCATGGTAAAATAGATACAAGTGAGGTACATACATACACTTCATTTTCCAGGAAAAACCATCCGTAGCGGCTCTCTTTGTCGACCTAGAATTTTGGTTGGGGATGGTATTTTCGTTCCTACACCAGCCTGCCACATCATCTCTGCATCCAGCCGGTTCCAGTAAGATAAGATCATACTAATCAAGACCAAAATTTCGTGCATAAATGCCATCCCCAAAATAAAACTTCTTGAAAATACAAAATAAAACTTGCCTCGCTTCCTCTTGAGCTCTTCATCAAGCTCCTGTTTCCACTTTCTTTGCATATCAGAAAAGCTTGCACTGAAATTAAACCCATCTCCATTGAGTTACAGCAGAAGAGTGGACATTAGCCAACAGAATGGCATCAAACATCAAAGACAAACCTTAGACTAAATGATTCTTTCTGATCATGAGGGAGCTCTTTCCATTCACCAAGCTGAGGTGGCTGAATTTCCTGCAAAACTCGGTCATATACACCACTGGCATTTGATACATCTCTTGTATGTTTCCCAGGGCCTGCAGCATCAAATGCAGTAGAGAATCTTCTACTAGATGCATGACTCGGTGACTTGCCTTTAGGAGGTAAGTTCAGATGCTTTGAAACATGTTCACAGTCTGCATTTCCAAAACCAGCTGCATTGAATGAGCTACGGAACTCTTCATATAGAGGTGTTTGCATCTTCTTCAGATCTAAGGCCTGATTAGGTTCAAGGTGCAAGTTTAAAACATTAGAATCCTGCCACACATTCTGACAAAACATAGCATCGTTGAATGATTTGACCACTACATCGCACAGGAAAGAACTTGGCAGACACATAGTACCTTTTCATCTAGGAAGGCTCTTATTTTTGACTCTGTAACTTCCTCATCATCCTCAACTGCTGATGGCCCGGAAGGAAATGTGAACTCTGTCTCCACCTTTTGAGATGCTCCAATGCTGCCCGAAGCCTCATGTATTGTTTGACAAGGGGAGAAGTTAATTCCATTTCTCTCCGGTTCCAGACTTTCATCAAACTTGCATGACCAGTCGTCAGTTGGTTCACACATGGGATTGAAACTCTATTTCAAACAAGCAAATCACTCATCATAATTAAAGTTTATTACTCTGAATGATCTAGAAGGACAAGAAAAAAGTTCATTACCTTGTTTAATTCGTCAGGTCCAACCACAGATCTCAATTTTGCAAATGAACCAAGGACAATGTCATTCGTATCATCAATCTGACACATGTCGTCATCATAGTTATTAGTAGCTCCCCAGCGGGAGCTCCCTCCTGAAAAATTCCCTGGATATACAGTTGAGCACCTTACAGTGCCCATATCACAAATATTCTTCAAGCCGGCACAGGTAGACCTTCTGATCGAAGGGTTCACACTGTAGTGGTGATAAAGTTAGAAAGGCAACCAGAAATAATTCCAAAACGATTAAATGAAAAGACTTACAAGTTCTTAAGATCTGTCCCAGGTGCTGCCTTCTCGTTTCCAGCTTCCTGATAAAACTAGTTATTAACTAATTGTATGGTTGTTATTAAGTAATAGTTGAGCCAGTAAATCTAAATCAATTATACCAACCATGAATGAAGAACGAACTACTGGACGAGGTTCCTGGTAATCCCCAGTGACAAATGGATGCTGCACATGACCAACAGATAGTATCTCATTAGTGAAAAAGAAGAAGGAAAAAAAAAAAAACAGGCATTCACATGCGACTGTACTTTTTGAAGAACAAGATTTCTTAATTTTACTGTCCAATTCTTGAGAAAACTAACTATGAAGTAAAATCTCTATTATTGAAAGCTATGACACGTCCGCATGTATGTAATGCAGCTAATGCCCCATGCCTAATTACACTCTGAAATAATATGCAACGTTATATAACATTAAAATTTACCTGCACCAACTCTGACGCAGAAGACCTTAGATAAGGTTCCCTGCCACCAAATTATGGAGTGTAAGAGTAAAGGAAAATATAAATAGATGACATTTGTAAAAATTTAATATCTGCTGTTCTATCTACAGACTTAAGTATGTTTAGCCCATAAATATGAAAAAAAATTAGGGAAAAGTAGAATTCATAGTTGTACTTCTCTAGGCATTTTAACAGAAAATCCTTTGCCTCAGCAGAGAGATGCTCAGGGATGGGTGGATGAGATTTTGTTGTTCCAATATGGAAAAGAGCAGCAACCTGAAAAGGGAAACTCGTAATCTCAGTCTGCTACCTCTTGGGTGAAACCACACTAAATTAGAAAAATTCTAGTCACGTTAGACACAATAATCAAACTATTTGTTGGCAAAAGCAGCTTGAAGTGTTACCTCTTGATACTGTTGGCTCCATGGAGGCTTTCCTGTAGCCATCTCAATCACAGTACATCCAACACTCCATATGTCAGCAGAGCTAAAAAAAACATATTCAAACCAATGAGGTCCAAGCATCAGAAATAGGGAGTAGCTAAATCCAACTGTTGTCCCTCACTAACAAAAAGGGGACAACTCATGCAATACATGAGAACATGCTTCTAATTGGAGATTAGGATGAAATGTTCCCAACAGGTTGTATTATTTTTTGTGTAAACGGACTGAATACAAAAAATCAACGCTAGTGAACCTCATCTAGTTAATATAACTGCTCAACTAGGAGAACTTCTAAGAGAGTATTCTTAAGGAGCATGTCCTGGAAGGAACACACAAGACTGCTAAAAAAAGTCTCAGAAAGACGTGAATTGTGATCCACCCTTGCCCCTTGACTGGTACTGGAAAAACCTTTGGCTAAAATTATAGGGTAATGCAGAGAGCATTAAAAGGTTGACAAACGATTACACAACCATTATAATAGCAATGAAATTATCAAAAATAGTCAACTCTCTAAAAGTGAGTAGTAGTTCTTACAAGCTATGGCCAGTCTGGAGAATAACTTCAGGAGCCATCCAATATGGAGTACCCTTCATTGACTTGGCACCATTTATAGTAGCCTGTATCAACAAATGAACTCACTATTGATGTGCATGAAAAAGATAATAAAGTCAGTTATCCATAGTACATAATAAAACTGTCATTACCAGTTCAACAACTTTCTTTGATGCACCAAAGTCAGCAAGTTTAATACACCCCTTATTATCCACGAGGATGTTTGCACCCTGTATGAAGCATGCCCGTTATTAAATGAGAGAGAGAGAGAGAGAGAGAGAGAGAGAGAGAGAGAGAGAGGTCAATTCATACTCTTAAGTGAACATTAAACAATTGAAATGGGGAGGTACCTTGATGTCCCTATGCATAATTTCATTCTTGTGAAGGTATTCAAGACCCAGTAACAGCTGCTTTGTGTACATTCTTATAACCTGCACATTCAACATTTTCAAGATGTAAAATTTATGTCCCCAAACACCCAAGGTCAATCACTTAGAAGTAACAAATACTTACAGACTCAGGAAAGGATCCAAATTTCCCCAAGAGGGACGATATGGATCCACCAGGCACAAACTCCAATAGAATATTCAAAGAATCCTCCTCTCTAGCGGTCCCTAAGTACCTCTAAAGAACAACATTGAAACAGTAAGAAAGTAAGTGATCACCTTCACCATCACTTCCATGAAATAACAAAGACAATCGTACTCACAACAATGTTTGGATGTGAAAGATTCTTAAGAAGCTTGACTTCCTCCTCCAACTCTCGAATGTGAGCCTGATTTAATTAAATTAGAAAAGGAAACTGCAGTCACTTAGTCTCAAACTGAAAATTAGTGTTCACAACTTAGTCTCAAACTGAAAAATAGTGTTCACCAGTGAAAACGCATCTCTAAAATACTTTTAACATTAGAATGAAGGTATTAATATGCAGTCAAACCAAGAATAAAAATTTATCGCTGAAATGCTTAGTTAATTCAATGAATCGCAACTTTTTGTGCTCAGGAATGCAAACTAAGCAATCCCCAAGAAAAATTAAAACTTTGATTAAAAAAAATAATGAAATGTATGCAAAATCAGAATCATGCCTGTGTCTTCTCCTTCGAAGCACTATTTGCCGCAATCAACACCTGTAACAAACACAAAAATGTCAAACTGCCAAATCCATTACTAAGAAACCAAATTCAATCTCGAAATTAAGAAGCAGGCAAACCTGTTTCACAGCGAAAAGCTCTCCGGAATCGAGGTTCATTCCCATGTAGACCCGGCCAAAGGCACCGGAACCAATCAACTCGCCTTTGCGCCACCGAATCGGCGGTGCGTCATCTCTCGAAGCAACCGGAGGAAGGGCACGAACAGGAGACTTGGATAACAGTCCGATTCGCGAATTACGGAGGCTGGAGCGGACCTTCCCCACCAGGCCCCCAAACCCTCCTCCTCCACCTCCTCCGTCGTCCCGGCGCGGGGGCAGAAGCGGTAGGGACTCGCGGATCAAGCCGACGAGGCCTTGCATCGGTGTTGAGGTTTTCTTTTTAGGTCGGTCGTTGGGGCTCATCGCCATCGGCGGTGGAGCTGTACGGACAAGGCTAGGGTTTTGTGAGGTTCATTCGTTTCTTGAAATCTGGTGGTGGGGCCGCGGAGGGGTTGCTCTGCGAGCGAGGGGGAAGGAGAGAGGAGAGTTAAAAATTTTGAATGGAGGGAAAAGGTGTTAAGGGGATCTGTTTCTGTACAATTCAAAAAATGTAAAAATAGATAACCTAACGGTCACCTTGGAACTGAACTTTGGCGGCGCTTCCGGTCTTGAACTATATAATATGTGAGTATTTTTTTATTATTATTATTATTGATAACTCTGTTGAAACTTTCGTTTAGGATAAAAGATTTTGCAGGAAATATATAGGACGTGTTGTAGGCTTATTTGATTGAACGATCTAGAGTTTAGAGAGAGAGAGGGGACCGGCCATAATTAGGGAGAATAAGAGAGAGATGTGTAATTGTGAGGTGTGTTTGATTCACCCATTTGTGCCTTTATTTATAGTAGTAGGATAGGTAAAAACATTTCTCTTTATGATTACAACATTTAATAGGTAATAAATTCCTAATAAGAATATAAGATACATTCGCATATCTATTAGGATTTACACAATCACATTCCTATTCTAAATATGACTGCAACACTCTCCCTTGAGTATGTAAATACTCAACAAACCATCGCATCAGATCTTCAGCAGATAAAGTAGAATAGTTGATGAAGTCATCGGCACAACGAGTGATTGCGAGTCTCAAATTTAAGTGAAGTATGCATTTATAGTAAAACTCACAAAACCTCGGTATAGTAAAACCTAAGGTAAGGGGAAAACCCATAGACTAAGGAGAAAAATGAGAAGTATGTATAATGTCTAAAACAAACGTCAAACAGGACGAAAGTAGTGAACTCAACGGACTATGATTATCCCAGGATGGGTGCCTTGTTAAAACCTCGTTAGGTAGCAAAAACCTAGTGGGAAAAATGCTCCTAATCGTAGGAAAAATAGTACATTAAGATCATGTGAGTATGCTTCTAGATACTCCCCCTAAGTTAGATATAACTTCTAAATAAGAGAACTATAAGCAATTCAATTCAGACTCGATTCCTTGGACGAGCTTCTGAAAAGTAGACTTGGGCAATGACTTGGTGCAGTGATCGGCCAGGTTGTCTTGGGAACAGATTTGCTTGACTGCAATGTTTTGATGTTGCTGCTGCTGGTGTGAGTAAAAGAACTTTGGTAATATGTGCTTGGTGTTGTCTCCCTTGATGTATCCCTTCTTTAACTGCTCGATACATGCTGCATTGTCTTCAAAAATTGTTGTAGGAAGGTCAACGACTGATTTAAGACCATTAGTGCTTTGAATATGTGCCATAACTTCTCTCAGCCAAAAGCACTCGCTCGATGCTTCATGCAGGGCGAGAATCTCAGCATGGTTCGACGAAGTCGCAACTAGTGTTTGCTTGGTAGATCTCCAAGATATAACAGTGTCTTCAACGATAAAGACATAGCTCGTTTGAGAACATGCCTTATATGGGTTAGACAGATATCTAGCATCTACGTAACCAATAAGGCAAGAATCAATCCGAGGACCATAGGGGGCTGCAACACTAGGAGATTCGCCGATATAGAACAAGCCTAAATTCATTGAGGTAGTAGAAAATGTCTTTAACACCATTCTAGTGCCTGCGTATGGGTGCATTGCTATATCTTGCCAAAAAATTAACAGCGAAAGAGATGTCGGGTCTAGTGTACTGAGCCAAGTATAATAAAGCCCCAATTGCAATTAGGTAAGGAACTTCGGGTTCCAAAATCTCTTCCTCATCCTCTTTTGGACGAAAGGGATCTCGTTTAGAATCTAGAGTCCGAACGACCATGGATGTACTCGAAGGCTTGCGCTTTATCCTCATTAAAATGATGAACACCTTTTGGGTGTAGTTCGATTGATGTACTAGGATTCCATCCGAATAATGCTCGATCTCCAGGCCAAGACAGTATCGAGTTTTCTCAAGATCCTTCATCTCAAATTCCGATTTCAAGCGTACATCAATTTCCTCAAGCTCTGCGAGAGTCCCAATGAGGTTCATATCATTAACATAAATTGCAACGATTGCAAATCCGAAATGTGACTTCTTTATGAACACGCATGGTCATAATTCGTTGTTCATATAACCCTGACTTGTCAAATATTCACTCAGACGGTTATACCACATCTGCCCGGATTGTTTTCAATCCGTAGAGTGACCTCCTTAACCTAATTAAGAGAGTGTTCTATGGTCTAGAACTATTTGATTCAGTCAATGGAAGTCCTTCTGGAACTTTCATGTAAATTTTCATATCTAGATCCTCATAGAGATACGTGGTTACACGTCCATAAGCCGCATATTCAGTTTTTTGAAAACTACCAAACTGATTAAGTAGCAGAACGTTATAACGTCCATTACGGGGGAATACGTTTCCTCATAATCAATTACAGGGCGCTGAGAAAAGCCTTGCACTACGAGGCGTGCTTTGTATCGCACTATTTCATTATTCTCATTACGTTTCAACACGAAAATCCACTTGTAGCCAAAGGGCTTCACGCGTGGTGGTGTAGGAACGATAAGTCCAAACACTTTACGTTTCGCGAGAAAAATGAGTTTAACCTGGATTGCTTGTTTCTAGTTTGACCAATCAGTTCTGCGTCGGCATTCATTGACGGAACGTGGTTCAATGTCATCGCTAAACATGATGTCAGTAGCTATTGAGTACGCAAATGCATCGTCAACGACCACCTTATTCATATTCCAAACCTCATTTAATACTGCGTAATGAACCAAAATCTCACGATTCTCGAGAGAGTCCCAATGAGGTTCATATCATTAACATAAACTACAACGATTGCAAATCCGAAATGTGACTTCTTTATGAACATGCATGGTCATAATTCGTTGTTCATATAACCCTGACTTGTCAAATATTCAATCAGACGGTTATACCATATCCGCCCGGATTGTTTTCAATCCGTAGAGATACGTGGTTACCACGTCTATAAGCCGCATATTCAGTTTTTTGAAAACTACCAAACTGATTAAGTAGCAGAATGTTATAGCGTCTATTACGGGGGAATACGTTTCCTCATAATCAATCACAGGGCGCTGAGAAAAGCCTTACACTATGAGGCGTGCTTTATATTGCACTATTTCATTATTCTCATTACGTTTCAACACGAAAACCCACTTGTAGCCAAAGGGCTTCACGCGTGGTGGTGTAGGAATGATAGGTTCAAACACTTTACATTTTGCGAGCAAATTGAGTTCGACTTGGATTGCTTGTTTCTAGTTTGACCAATCAGTTCTACGTCGACATTCATTGATAGAACGTGGTTTAATGTCATCGCTAAACATGATGTCAGTAGCTATTGAGTACACAAATGCATCGTCGACGATCACCTCATTCATATTCCAAACCTCATTTAATACTGCGTAATGAACCAAAATCTCGCGATTCTCGGGAGGCCGACATGTTTCATCTGAAGCAACACCGTAATCTAGAATAACTTCATGCGTTGGAATGGATAAGTGAGTGATGGTCAGATTCAAACACTAGTTGGTGCCATTTTCCTCTTCCGGGGTTGTGAATCCTTTGAATTAATGGGTATGCCATGCTTCAGGGTTGAAGCAGATGATTGGCTAACCGCCAATGTACCTTGCCGCATGGAGGGTGCGGCTTCCCCACCTTTGAGGACGGTCCAACTTTCCCATGCAGGTTGTTGATGTACGTTGGGTACATCAATCCTTGCAGGTGTGTTTGCAATGAGTATATGTGATTTTGTCACATTTGCTAGATCATTAAAAGTATCCGGCATACTTTAAACAATGCTTTAAAGATCTATAATTTGCCGCACCTTAGTTTCAGACTGGGCAGTGCGGGGATCTAAATGAGACATAGTCGGAGCATACCACGACAATTCGCGACGTTATATAGGAACGTTACCAAGTTTATCTCCCCCTAACGACAGGAAGACTGTCTCATCAAAGTGACAATCTGCAAAACGTGTTGTAAAGAGATATCATGTCAAGGGTTCTAGGTAACAAACAATTGATGGCGAATCATAATCGACATAGATTCCCATTTTTCTCTGAGGACCCATTTTGGTACGTAGCGGCATATAAATGATGCACCCAAACACCCGTAAATGCGAGATATCAGGCTCGTATCTAGTGACCAATTGTAATGGTAAATGTGGTTGAGTAGTGGTGGGCCTCAGGCGGACCACCATAGCTACATGCAATATTGCATAGTCCCAGGCAGATACTAGCAGTTTGTTTCGCATAACCATAGTCCGAGCGATCAATTGAAGTCACTTTATGAAAGATTCTGCCAGGCCGTTTTGGGTGTGAACATGGGGTACATGATGTTCCACATCAATCCCTACTGACATGCAATAATCGTCAAAAGTTTGTGACGTAAACTCTCCAACGTCATCTAGTCGAATCGACTTAATTGGATAATTAAGGTGGTGAGCCCTTAGCTTAATGATTTGAGCTAGGAGTTTAGCAAACATGACATTGCGTGTGGACAACAAACAAACATGTGACCAACGTGTCGATGCGTCAACCAACACCATAAAATATCAAAATGGTCCACATATTGGTTGGATAGGTCCACAAATGTCCCCTTGTATCCCCTGAAGAAATTTAGGGTAATAATCTTTGTATATGAGGGTTGAGTATTCAACTTCTCTAAAGAACATGTTTTGTATGGCGGGAGTCCAACAAAGGGATGTAACTTATGCCGTGTGAAGATTTGAGGATACGGCGCATCATGTCACATCTAGGATGTCCTAAACGGCCATGCCAAAGCAACAAAGTGTCCTGGAACTTAGGCCTAGGGCCAGCCACACTGTGGGCTTCTATGCCGTGAATGGTTGTGATGTACAACCCATTCGGCAAACGTTCCAACTTCTCATGAATACGCTTCTGGCCATATTCATATGAAGTGATACAAAGAAATTCAGAACCATTATCTTCAATGGTTTCAATATGATATTGATTATGTCGAATATCTTTAAACTCAACAACGTTCTTCCGGGACGTGGAGAATAGAGTGCCTCCTTAATGGTCAAAATTGTACCATTTGACAACATGATACGTACCTTTCCGTATCCTTCAATCAGGTTGGATGGGCCTAAGAGAGTTGTTAAAGGAGTTTTCTTGGGTATTAAGTTAGTAAAATAGTATCGTTCACGTAATATAGTGTGCGTGGTTGCACTATCTGCCAGAC